TGTATATAGTGTAATAATACCACATACGGTATTGTTGGGGGGAGAAATTTTAGTGCATGTGAACTTGAATGAATGAGGGAGGCAGCTGCCAGCTAACTTTGTGTAGCGACGTCTCTTAGTGCCTGAACTAACTATATCAGCTTAGTTGTACAGCTGTGTTGAACAAAACATGTAGGTACTTATATATAACGTCTGTACACAAGGATATAGTGTGAATATATAGTGAATAAAATAAAAAAACAGGATTGTGGGAGGAGAAAGTGGGCAAGTGAGGCGTTATTGAAGGAGTGGCAACGAGTGGCTGGCTGATGTGTGGCTTTTCAACACATAATACCAACTTAGTGGTTCGTTATGGTGAACCAAACATGCAGATACTTATGTATAACCTGTGTATAGAGTGTAACAGCAGCAAAACTATTTGTTTATTGTTTTATGAACATAATAATTGAACCACTAATATGCACACCATACTTTTGAGTATAGCAATGATTCGCCCCTTTTATTATATAAATCTATCACAATACACACTATTGAATAATATTACCACAAAAAACTAAGAAAAAATCAGACATTGAAATAATTAGGCAATATCATCTTTGTGGTAACTCCCACCTGTCAGCTCGGGTGATGCTGACCGCCACTGACGACCGCTCTGTCAATGCCCACATTTTGCCAGACTTTCTCAGCCAATTGCGGCCAAAATGTCGCCTACAATTTATTTTTTATTTTTTTCCGTGCTCATGGAACACAAATTAACACTTTTAGAAGACGAAAGGATTTTTTTAGGATATTTTTCTTGTGCACAGGTGTAAATCTCCTCAGCACCCCTTAGCAGCTTAAGGGTTAATGTTTCACACATTTCCTTTTCATTTTCTGTGTATCTGTCCCCCATTTTCAACCTCTGAATATTATCCTTTACCTGCAGCTTGCTTTTAATGAATTTATAGAAAAGGCCTGGATCTGATTTACATTTGTCTGCTATACTGTTCTACATCAAAGTGTGTGTGTGCTTCAGTTCCAGTGCTTTGCAATGCCAGAAAATTGCAATGTGATGAAGAGGGCAAACTTTGGCCAATAAGACAAGACCTCTCAAAGGAGGACAGAGAAAAGCTGAAAATGAACCTCATTGAAGCGAAACGTCTAAATGGGGATAGAAATGAAGAAAAAAGGAATTCTTTTTTCTACAAAGTGTCAGGGACTGGAAAGCTTGTGAAATGGTACATAACGACAAAGCAACAAAATCATTAAAGGAAGGGGGTGTAAAGAACAAAGGGAAGGGAAACATGTTCCTGAAAATAGTATATACCAACATAGATGGAGTGAGATCGAAAATATTGGAGTTGAAGAATATAATCAAGCTCAAAGTCCCAGATATTGTCACATTAACAGAGACAAAACTTGAAGAAAATATTTTAAATGAAGTCGTATTCCCAAGGGGCTACTCAGTTTGGAGACGTGACAGGAAAACTTGGAAGGGGTAAGGAGTGGCTGTACTGGTGAAAGAACACCTGAAGGTAAGAGAGTTAATAATTGAAAACCCTCGAGATATTGACATAATGGCATTGCAGGTCTGGAATCAAGATGATAAGCTGATAATTTTAAATGCCTACAGCCCACCAGCAAGCAACACATGGACAAAGGAAGAACTGGATGACAAACCAGAGGGCCTCATAATGGTTATGAGAGAGATTATGGTAAGAGCTGACAAAGATAAATCCCGATTGTTGGTACTGAGGGACTTCAACTTTAAGGCATTAGACTGGGAGACCTACGAGGCAAGAACAGAGGACATTTGGACAGGCAGATTTGTAAACCTCATTTTGAAGACATTCATGTATCAACAAGTCAAGCAGGCCACAAGAATAAGGGAAGGAGATGTTCCGTCAATACTGGATCTAATATTCACCAGGAAAGAGGAAGAGTTATTTGACATCCAGTACCTTCCTACATTTGGAAAGAGTGATCACGTCCTCTCGGACATTAAATACGCTTTGCGATATAATCTAGTCGAGAATGGGGACATTGAAACAGTTGTTAAACTCAGTTTCAAGAGAGGACGCTATGGGAAACTTAGAAATTTTTTCATGGGTATAATTGGATAACTTTTTGCTAAGGAAGTAAATGAGAAGTATGCCATATTTTGCAAAATATACGATGAAGGCACACATTCAAACATAAGGGGGGGCCTCGTAGCTTGGTGGATAACGCGCAGGACTCGTAATTCTGTGGCGCAGGTTCGATTCCCGCACGAGGCAGAAACAAATGGGCAAAGTTTTTTTCACCCTAAGTGCCCCTGTTACCTAGCAGTACATAGGTACCTGGGAGTTAGTCAGCTGTCACGGGCTGCTTCCTGGGGTGTGTGTGTGTGTGTGTGGTGTGGGAAAAAAAAAATAGTAGTTAGTAAACAGTTGACTGACAGTTGAGAGGCGGGCCGAAAGAGCAAAGCTCAACCCCCGCAAAAACACAACTAGTAAACACCAAAACAGAGATGCAGACCTAGGAAACAGGATTGGTTCAACAGAAATTGCACAAGGGCCAGATATCAAAAGACACAGGCATGGAATCATTATAGGAAGAGGCCAAACCCCCAAACATACCAGTGATACAAAGATGCGAGAAACAACTACACGTCAGTAAGGAGAGAGCCAGAGAGAAACTTTGAGAACAGTATAGCAAATGTAAATCAGATCCAGGCCTGGATAATATTCAGAGGTTGAAAATGGGGGACAGATACACGGAAAGAGAAAAGGAAATATGTGAACCATTAAATGAAAAGTTCCAAAGTGTGTTTGTACAAAATGAGATCTTCAGGGAACCAGACAATAAAAATTCCAGAGAACAACGGAGCACATAGGTGTCTAGAGACAAAGTGAAACAAATGCTCTTGGCGCTAAGAAAGAACAAAGCAATTGGCCCAGACGGAGTTTCACCATGGGTTCTGAGAGAATGTGCAGTTGAGCTCGGCATACCACTTCACCTGATCTTTCAGGCATCCCTGTGTACAGGAATCGTAGCAGACGTGTGGAAACAGGCTAACATAGTTCCAATCTACAAAAGTGACAGCAGGGAAGACCCCCTCAATTATAGACCTGTATCATTGACAAGTGTAATAGTGAAAGTATTGGAAAAGCTAATCAAAACTAAATGGGTAGAACACCTGGAGAGAAATGATATAATATAAGACAGACAGTATGGTTTTCGATCTGGAAGATCCTGTGTATCGAATTTACTCAGTTTCTATGATCGAGCCACAGAGATATTACAGGAAAGAGATGGTTGGGTTGACTGCATCTATCTGGACCTAAAAAAGGCTTTCAACAGAGTTCCACATAAGAGGTTGTTCTGGAAACTGGAAAATATTGGAGGGGTGACAGGTAAGCTTCTATCATGGATGAAAAATTTTCTGACTGATAGAAAAATGAGGGCAGTAATCAGAGGCAATGTATCGGAATGGAGAAATGTCACAAGTGGAGTACCACAGGGTTCAGTTCTTGCACCAGTGATGTTTATTGTGTACATAAATGATCTACCAGTTGGTATACAGAATTATATGAACATGTTTGCTGATGATGCTAAGATAATAGGAAGGATAAGAAATTTAGATGATTGCCATGCCCTTCAAGAAGACCTGGACAAAATAAGTATATGGAGCACCACCTGGCAAATGGAATTTAATGTTAATATATGTCATGTTATGGAATGTGGAATAGGAGAACATAGACCCCATACAACCTATATATTATGTGAGAAATCTTTAAAGAATTCTGATAAAGAAAGAGATCTAGGGGTGGTTCTAGATAGAAAACTATCACCTGAGGACCACATAAAGAATATTGTGCAAGGAGCCTATGCGATGCTTTCTAACTTCAGAATTGCATTTAAATACATGGATGGCGATATACTAAAGAAATTGTTCATGACTTTTGTTAGGCCAAAGCTAGAATATGCAGTTGTTGTGTGGTGCCCATATCTTAAGAAGCACATCAACAAACTGGAAAAGGTGCAAAGACATGCTACGAAGTGGCTCCCAGAACTGAAGGGCAAGAGCTACGAGGAGAGGTTGGAAGCATTAAACATGCCAAAACTAGAAGACAGAAGAAAAAGAGGTGATATGATCACTACATACAAAATAGTAACAGGAATTGATAAAATCAATAGGGAAGATTTCCTGAGACCTGGCACTTCAAGAACAAGAGGTCATAGGTTTAAACTAGCTAAACAAAGATGCCGAAGAAATATAAGAAAATTTACTTTCGCAAACAGAGTGGTATATGGTTGGAACAAGTTAGGTTAGAAGGTGGTGGAGGCCAAGACTGTCAGTAGTGCCACAGGGTTCAGTTCTTGCACCAGTAATGTTCATTGTCTACATAAACGATCTACCAGAAGGAATATAAAATTATATGAACATGTTTGCAGACGAGGCTAAGATACTGGGGAAGATTGGAGATGCAGACGATGGTAATGACTTTCAAAACGATCTTGATAAAATAAGTGCTTGGAGCATCAAGTGGCATATGGAATTCAATGTGAATAAAACCCAGCGTTGAATGTGATGAAACGTCATTTTCTGGGTATGACCCGGAGGCTCCCCGGAGCTTACTAGGCTGATATGCTAATGTCAGACTTTGGCATCAGTCATGTGTATGGAGTTCTGTCGGCCTACCGGGGACCACGAACTAGAACCTGGTGCCCCTCAGAAAGGCATGGGGAAGCAATGGCCTATAGAAACCCCCATGTGGTTGGAAGCATTCTATGTCTGCCATCGACATTGAGTAATTTCCAATTATTGTGAAAATCAGGACATTCTCATTTTTCTGTACAATTTAGTTGCATAGATGTTCGTGGGGCAATACAGTTCTGAAAATAAGGTGCAACACCATTTACAAGTGGAACATTATATACAATATATTTTTTCAGATTTATTCTCAAACAGATTTTGTCAACTCATGGGTATAGAGGAAAAAAACATTTCAAATTTCAGGATTAGATAAAAAAAACAATTTTCACACAAATTAATATCTTCTATAATTTATTATAATATCTGCCTATAATTTAAACAATTTGACATGAGAAATTAGAGCAGAGTAGGCTCAGTGTAGTTACATTCCACCTATCAATAATCATAACTATATAGTATACATAAGAACAGTACTTACTAATGAAAATTAACCTTATAAAAAGCGCTCAATTTACTCAGTGGAGTTTGAAGGACAAAAAAAAATTTTTTTTTTAAATAACTGGCCAAGCTACTTGACAAACTAAAAGTATGTCAAAAGTGGCTTTTCTGCATGATGGACTAACTGTAGTTTTATCGTGACTGACACTATGCATGATGCACCGCCGGAATTGAAAAACAAGAATTACGAGGAGAGAGTAGAAGCATTAAGAATGCTAAAGCTAGATGATAGAAGAAAGAGGGGATATGATTATCATTTACAAAATACTAACAGGAATCAGCCAAATTGACAAAAAGGAATACCTGAAACCAGCAACTTTACGAACAAGAGGACACAGACTGAAGCAAAGGAAACAAACGTGCAGAAAAAATATTATAAAGTCTTCTTTTGCAGAGTGGTAGATGGTTAGAACAAGCTAAGTGAGGTGGAGGTAGGCCAAAACCTTCAGTAGTTTCAAAGTATTATACGACAAAATGTACTGGGAAGATGGGACACCACGAGCGTAGCTCTAATCCTGTAACTTTACTTAGGCAATTACACACACTCTTGACACAATCCTCACACCTAATTAGTTATCTAGAACTGAAGAGATGACATGCTGATGCTCAGATAGGACTGCTGCCTCCAGTCTCTCCTCATAGGTCTTGTTTTTTAGGCTTCCAGACCTAAACAAGAGATATATAAGGAGTCTTATTGAGACACTAAATATGCCAAAACTAATGGAAATAAAAAAGAGGCATATTATCATAACAGGAATTTACAAGGCTGACAATGAGGAATTTTTTAAATTAGCAACATTAAGAACAATGGCCACATATTCAAGCCAAGGAAAACAAATGAGCTGAAAATGTACGAATGTTCTCTCTTGTGAACAAAGTTGTAGATGGTTGGAACAATCTTCTAATGAGAAAGTGGCAGATGTCAAAACCAATATTAGTTTCAGAGCAGCACATGAGAAAGGTTATCGGGAAGACAGAAGACCGAGCGTAGCTCTCATCCTGTAACTACACTTTAGTAATTAGTCACTCCACATATACATACACACACCTTCACACAACACACACACAATTATTATTATCACATTGTATACAGAGCCACATTTTTAATGTCAACTCAATATTCACATTTCTAAAGATTATGTCATGGATATATAATGACATGTGCACTAGAAAATATTAAGTGCTCAACGTGATGAATTATGACAAAAATTGTCCTGAACAATCCTAGTGCCGATATCTTAATGTGAACAAAATCAACTTCGATATAAATAAATAGAATTAGCACACTTTGCTCCTACTAGGGTTCCATATTCTCTGACCTCATCATCATCAGCACCATCTGCATTGAGTATTCGATACCTTCCATATCTCATCGGTTCCTGTTCATATAGTACTTGAATCTGGGAAAAGAAAACACAATTATACTTGAGGGGTTGTTGAAAACATCAAGTAACATCCACCAATTTACATGCTATTATTCATACAATTTAATAAATATTGAGGATTGTGACTGAATCCCCCATCAATTAACTTGTTTATATTACTTATTATTAATAATTTTGATTATACTGCTTTAACCCTTCCACTGTGCCTAGAGACTCACTACTTTCAGCGTTACAAACAAAAACGTCATGGAGGAAAACCATGCCTGGTGAAACTGTAACATATTGATGGGTAAAGTGCTGAGGTAAGCATGCAAGTACACATAATTACACAAAATAAGGCACCAAACAATGAAGACTATGTAGACAATATCTGGGACCTTTATATGAATAAATATCTCGGTTCCAGTATTTTTTTATCTCACTCCATCTATGTTGGTACTGTATATACAATTTTCAGGAACATGTTCACTTTCCCTTTGTCCTTTACTCTCCCTTCCTCTAATGATTTTCTTGCCTTGTTTTGATGTACCATTTCACTAGCTTTCCAGTCCCCAACACTTTCTACAAAAAAAAATCTTTCTTCATTTCTACTACCATTTAGATGTTTCACTTCGAGGTTTGTTTTCAGCCTTTCTGTCATCCTTTGAGAGGTCTAGTCTTATTAACCAAAGTTTGCCATCCTCATCACTGCAATTTCCTGGCATTTCTAAGCACTTCTGTCATTTGTTTCACGCCATTAAATGTCACCCTTAAGGGGCAGTTCTTGTCACTCATATTTTCCTATTCTCCTAAAATCACTTGGCATTTTCCTTTGAATTGAGCCCTTCTCCTAAACCGACTATTTTCTCAATGATTTTTCTCTCTTCTGCTGCTGCTCTATCCACCCTAGATGATATTGCTTTTTCTAAACACCCAAACATTGTTATAGACTTACTTCTATCTGCAGTGTTTTGTATTAGTTTACTGTTGGTAACCAGTTCTTTCCTAATTGCTGGCCTAATTTCTGCTTTTTGTTGATTATTTCCGGTTTTGACTTCCAAACATACTTCCTTGATCGTCTCTCTCTCTTTTACACCTTGCGCATACGTCTCTTATTTCTTATTTACACTTTTCTAGTTCTTTATTAACCTCCTCTATGTGAGTTATCCATGAAGTTTCTCCTTGCATAACTCTTGTTGGCCTTTAGGGTTTCTTGAAGTTGTTCACCACATGAGTATATTTTCTAGTTAATTTTATCAAATTCACCACTCTTCACTTTCCATTCCTCATTTTCTTTCCCTAGTTCCTCGATTTGTTCCTCTTGAATCTTTATCTTGTCTGTTAAGGCGGTAATATTTTTTATCTTTCTGAAGAATATTGAAGAATAAAATGTTCTTCTACTTGAAGAATACACATGAGCCCGGTATAGCTCTGGGGAGCCGAAGGGGCTCTCCACACAAGACAAATTAAAGCATTCTCCAGCTATTGTACAGATAATGCATATTGGAGATAAAACAATCGTGAAAAAAAGCCACAATGACCTTGAGATGACAAACACCAAGAGGAAGAACAAAATTAAGTAGGATGCTTAAATCATGGACAATTTTCAATGTTTAAGTACTTACATCTTCAAAGCTTAGATGACATGATGGCAGCACTTGCCATATATGGTAGACTATATACTGTACTAATGAATTATTATGTCACATGCAAAACAATGAAGTTTCATGACCATGCACAATTAAAAAGCAGACAAAACATCTTACTTCATTGATATCCAGTTGACCATTTTCATCAATAGCAGACGTATCATCATTTAATCTCGAGTATTTTGCCACATCTAGCTTGGATACTGCACTTTCAATGGGAATCCAATCATAAGTCTCTGGACACAGCAGAAATGAAGGATTGTATCTGCCTTTATAGCGCATCTTGGGGCAGGAATGAATATAGAAACCCATGTAATACGACTTCAAGGATAAAACTCTGCGCTGAAGTTCACGTGTCAGCGCAATTTCTCTGTGAAGAAAGGAGCAGTTGTGTGTATGCTTTACGGTATATACATTACAGCACGAGCAGTAACACCAGTGTAATGATCAATATTCAGCACTTTTATTGTTGTACACTACATATTATATAATATGTTTATATAATGTCTAATAATATGTCTAATAATATGTCTAATAATATGACACATAATATAATATGACATAATATTCTTTATTATTAGACATTTGCAACACTCCAACAATTTAAAAAAAACAAAAAACATTACTTGGCAATTGTATTTTAGAAACTGAGGATAACGACTGGTCTCTAAAGATCTTGCCAACAATTAAAAAATCAGCATTGAATGTAATGAAACACTAGTTTCTGGAGTAAGCCCTGGAGGCTCCCTGAGAGCCAGACCATGAGCCAGAACCTGGCCCCCTCACAGAGGCACAGGGAGCAATGGCTCATGAACACTTTACATTTAAAGTTTATCATCTTGCCATTGACCAGGGAAGCACCCAGAAAGGTAGGCGAATCAAAATGGACTACACTGTACTGCCTGGATGAAAATGTGACCTACATCCTCAATATATGCAAAGAACTCCCCCATAAAGAAAAAACACCCAAAACTTTGTCCTACTAACCCCACCTCATTAGCTCCACCCCCTACTCCACAGGGAGGAGGGTGAACTGGGCCGCCACCAGCTAGTTCTTGAATGATAAAAGCCGCCGACAGGAGAGAGGGAGGTAGGGAGGGAGGGTGTCAGGGAGCCTCCAGCGCTCACCCAGAAACTGGCATTTCATTACATTCAATGGTGGTTTTCTGTGGGGGAGCCCCATTGGCTCCCTGAAGCTAACTACCCACAGAAAAGGAAAAACGGCCTTACCAAAGAGGCTGCAGCACCGCAGGTATCAATACAAAGAAGAGACCGTCGGCCACGACAGATGTCCCAAAATAACACAAGATGCACCCTCAGCCGAACCAACCAAGCATCCACAACCAAAGGACCCCTTCGGAAGCCTGCCGTCTCATTCCTCGCCAGAAAAGGAGTCGGCTGCAACCTAACAAAATGAACTCCAGGACGAAAAAACCAGAGTTGAATATAGTGAAATGCCATTTCCTGGGTGAGCCCCGGAGGCTCCCTGGAGCTATCGGGCTAATATGTTATTAGTATATATTAGCTAGTATATATTAGACCAGGGCATTAGTTTAAGGAGTTCTACCTACTGGGGACCGAGAGCCAGAACTAAGGCCCCTCAGAGAGGTTTCAGGGAGCAATGGCCTAGGAAAACCCCAGTGGTTGGAGGATATGAATGTTGGGGGGGAATGTAATGAAACGCCTTAGCTTTTCATTACATTCAATGCTGGTTTTCTGTGGGGAAGCCCCTTTGGCTCCCTGGAGCTACATAACTACAGATAAGGAAAAAGAAGGACTTATCCGAGAGGCAGCAGCGCACAAACTCCTCAAAGCTAAGTCGAGACAATTGGCTGTAACCTGCGACCCAAAGCAACACAGGAACGCCCAGGAGCAGGAACGTTAACCAAATAACGGGCGGCCGGGACCCTGTTCAACCTCCAAAATCCCCGTGCCTGAATATCAGCCCAAGATATGTTGCCAAACATGGCAGCCAATGCTGCAAACTTCCTAGCATCATGGGCACGAAGATAAACAGGCTGGCTGGCTAAACTTAGTAACCCTGTGGACGACCTGGGAGAGCCAAGTCCTGAAACAGGGAACGAGGGAAACCGGATCAACCCAAAGCACATCCCCGGCCACCGAAGCCGAAGAGTGCAGCTAACGACGGAGAGCTGCAACCAGACAACAGATGATGCACTCCCGGCTGAACCAACCATCAATTACCCAAGGACACCTCTGGAAAGCAGCCATCTCGTTCACCAGAAAAGGAGAAGGTTGCAACTGAACACACCTACTACCAGGACCGAAAGAGCAGAATCCCCTGCGCTGGATGAGAGCATGCAGCTCCCCGACCTGACCCCCAGAGGACAATGCCAAGAGAAACAACTCCCGGGTGAAGAGAGGAGTATAGTTACGGATTGCTCCTAGTTAATCCTCTCTGACAGACATATCACAGGTTACGGTATTTACACAATAGCAATTAATGTTTTATTTACTCATGGGTTCTGAATTTCCTTTAAACTGTTACTTATTTTGTTGCATCAATGCTGTCTGACAGGTTTTCTATTGCCTCGTAGAGTAAACCAGATGCTGGTGGTAGTGGCACCCAGTGGGTAACAGATGGGTCTCAAGCCTGATATAACCAGGTTGTGACTCATACGTCAGGCTGCAAGCAGCCACATTGAACAGCCTGGTTGATCAAACCAGCAACCAGGAGGTATCACCGTGGTTGATCCTCAAAATTATTTGGTAGTTAACAGGTAGGTAGTGTGGGACTGAGGCTAGGTGTATCAGTCCTATACACTTCCTATGTTTGGAAGCTGCTGTTGACTTCCTCTCAGAAACGATAAAATATATTTTGACAAAACCATAAAGCACACATATATACTGGAAATATTGCTCCTAGTCACTTAACAAAGATAACAAGATATCATTGAAACTTGTTTAACTTTGACACAATGATGTTATTTTAGTAGACGTTATATGTCATCCTACATAGAGCACATAATATTTTCCCCACTTTAATAATGTTGCGTAACTACCGTTCATCCAATAAAGTTGAATATTTCAAATGATCAATTTATTGCATACAAATCTTTGACACAAAAGACATGTACAGCTTACCTTAATGATGCATAAGTACCTAATGATAAAAATGAGAATTCAGGATCATAATATAGATAGACAGAAGAGACACAATGGGGCAGAATGTCCAGTACGCCCACTGCTATCAAGCGACCATCCAGCCAATACTGGTGATGGAATGATCCATAACCTTGTTGAGGGCCGGTGTGTGGATGCCATCCCTGGAAACATTAACTACTTCAACACATCAAAATTACTATCTACTCATTATTAACTACTGTAATTTCAGTCATTTACATTTAAACCCCTGAAGGGGGACACTAATATTTGTAATAAACCTAGTTATGGTTATATACATTAACTTGGTAAAATATTTAAACATTTATTTAATATACATACTGTGAGGTTTTACTCTTAAGACAACTAGAAGAAATACAAATTTATACTTAACATTAACCATTTTTATCTTCATGTCATTAGTATTTTGCCTAATTAAGTTTTAATACATAAACCTATTTCAATTCCATCCATTAAATTAAAATAATGTTATATGTTTTCTCAGAGTATTAATACTATACTGTACTCCATTCATCATTTATACTTTGTGTGCACCTTCCAAGATCAAATTAAATACCCTAATTTCATTATTTATTGCCTACCCCCACAGTAACCTTCCTGAGCTAAAGCCATTGTTGTTACTTGACAGATTAGCCAATGGCAGGCAGCTGTGAGGTTCTCAATACCTCCTAGAGACGAGGCCTTTGAAACTTTGCCTTGATCCAGCTTTGAGTGAAGGAACCTCGTGGACTTCCAAGATCGACTCCAGTGACAAACTGCCATAAATGCAACGAGAGGAGGCCACTAAGACACTCAAACTTCCCATGAGAAATGTTTTAGAAAAATGTTGAACAACCTAAACAAAATTTTGACAATTACTAAAGAAACACACTGAATGACTCCTCCCATCTGTAACTAGGTGTCACTGTCACTGGACATGTGCCTCTCTAAGATAAACGTTCAAGATCTATGGGAAAAATTTCAAAGAAGATTACCTAGGTTCCAGTATGGGGTGACTCAAGTTTCCTAGGCGAGTCCTCCAGGGTACTCGTCCATAGGTGGATACAAGAATGGATGACTTCTGGCTCTTGTTAGCAGACAAAGCTTTTCCCTTTCAATAGCTCATGGTAAGCCTTACCCACTAGTTTCCATTGGAAATGGCTTGCTAATCAGTTAGCAAACAGGTACCCATTTACTGCTGGGTGAACAAATGCAAACAATTAAGGATTGTCACCTAGTCAATCCTCCCAGGTAAGGATTTGAACCCAGACCAAATCACTTGTGAGGGGAGGGTGTTACCATGGCACCACCATGGACTCCTTGGCAGCACATTGTGTGCATACTTATTGCACTTCAAGTTTGGCTCATGATTGGCTCATGATATCTACCCCAACAAGTTTGAAAGGAGTCTGACTGTGTTTCCAGTTTTCCTGAAGAACCCATCATCATCCTCGTCGTCGTCGTCGTTTCTTGATGGGAGCTTGCTCTCCGGAGCTATCCAGGCCGAGTTTTTGCCTACCGGGGACCACGAGCCAGAACCTGACTCCCCTCAGAGAGGCACGAGGAGCAATGGCCTACAGAAACCCCCTGTGATTGGGAGCATTCTGTGTCTGCCATCGACCGGATCCGGCACTCAGAAAGGTAGGCGCCCCAAAACAAACTCCTATTCTGGTGAAACTATTGCTACCGAAAGCCGAATGAGTGGACAGAACTCCCCAAACAAAAATTAGCAAACAAGCATGACGACATCATGTCGTCGCGCTGCTGTCTGAGTAACCCCCCACTCCCCCAGGAGCGGGAAGGGTGAGCCCTGACCTCCACGCTGGCAATCCACCCTTCGTTCTCAGGCTGATGTGCTACTGGTGTTGTCTTGTGCCTCTGGCTGTGGTCTTGTGCCTCAGTGTGGGGGGTCTGGGGGCTCCCCCCCTTCCCCCTCCTGGGGAGGGAGCAGCTGTGCAGACAGTGGCAAGGTGGCGATGGTGATGTCATGTTTGTTTGCTTGTTTTCAGTTTGGAGAGTTCTGCTTGCTATTTGACTTTCGGTCGCAATTTTTAACCAGGTGTAGTTTGTTTTGGGACTTCTACCTTTCTGGGTGCCTAACCCAGAATGGCAGACATAGAATGCTTCCAACCACATAAGGGTTTCTATAGGCCATTACTCCTCGTCCCTCCCTAAGGAGGCCAGGTTCTGGCTCGTGGTCCCCGGTAGGCTAGAACTCCATCGAATTGACTGATGCCACGGTCTAATACTGTACATACATATCAGCCCGGTATGCTATGGGGAGCCAGAGGGGCTCTCCACAAAAAACTTCCTAATTTTTTGGGCACCTTGGTCTCCTTAGCTTGAATCTATGACCTTGTTATTGAGATTGCCAGTTTCAGGAATTCCTTAGTCAATTTGGTAGAGTCCTGTTATTATTTTGTAAGTCATGATCATACCGGCTCTTTCTTCTATCTTCTAGTTTTGGCATATTTAATGTTTCTAGCCTCTCTTCATAACTCTCATTATGAAGAGTCTGTGCGCTGCCTTCCCTGCTTGATCTCTGATGCATGCAGTGTTTTTGCCATATTGGACAGCCAGTGATTGAACCAAGCTGCAGTCTAGTGTACCAGACTCCCGGGGCAGGTCACTGAGAGTATGCACCTTAAGCACTGGGCCAGTGCATGAGGACTGTTGTGACATTTCTTAAATTATCATAGCCTGGCAATTCCAGAGCATGCCATAGAATGCATAGAGGTATCTCAAGACAAAAAGGAAAAATTACTCAAGGGGCTAGGAAGAAATAAAGCAGTATGACATGGAGTTTCACCATGGGTGCTGCAAGAATGTGCAACTGAGCTGAGCTGAGCATTTAACTCCAATTAATATTCCAGACATTCTTGTACTCACCTAGTTGTGCTTGCAGGGGTTAAGCTCTGGCTCTTTGGTCCCACCTCTCAACCACCATATTTTGTATACAGGGATCTTAGCAGATATATGGAAAGGCAAACATAGTAACGATCTATAAAAATGGTAGTCGAGAAGAACCTCTAAATTATAGACCCGTATCATTAATAAGCGTGGTTATCTTGAGATGATTTCGGGGCTTTAGTGTCCCCGCGGCCCGGTCCTCGACCAGGCCTCCACCCCCAGGAAGCAGCCCGTGACAGCTGACTAACACCCAGGTACCTATTTTACTGCTAGGTAACAGGGGCATAGGGTGAAAGAAACTCTGCCCATTGTTTCTCGCCGGCGCCTGGGATCGAACCCAGGACCACAGGATCACAAGTCCAGCGTGCTGTCCGCTGGGCCGACCGGCTCCCTTGTGGTAGTGTTGACTACCACCTTGACCAGTGGTAGTCAAAACACTAGAAAAAATAGTTAAAGCCAAATGGGTTGAAAACCAAGAGAGTAATGACATAACAGACATGACAAACAGTATGGTTTTCGATCAAGAAGATCCTGTGTAACAAATCTACTTAGCTGTTATGATAAAGCCACAGAGATACTGTAGGAAAGAGATGTTTGGGTTGACTGTCCATCTTGACCTAAAAAGGGCTTTTGACAGGTCCCACACGAGAGCCTGTTCTGGAAACTGGAACATGCTGAAGAGGAGACTTCTAACATGGATGAAAAATGTTCTAACTGACAAACAGATGAATGCAGTAATCAGAGACACTGTATCTGACTGGAGGAGTGTTACTAGTGGAGTACCACAGGGTTCAGTTCTTGCATTGGTAATGTTCATCGTCTACATTAATGATCAACCAGAGGGAATATAGAATTATATGAACATGTTTGCAGATGATGCTAAGATATTGGGGAAGATAGGAGATGCAGACAATTGTCATGCCCTTCAAATTGATCTAGCTAAAATAAGTGCTTGGAGCATCAAGTGGCAAATGGAATTCAATGTGAATAAATGCCATGTTATGGAATGTGGAAGCAGAGAAAATAGACCACACACAACTTACAAATTATGTAGAAAGGAATTAAAGAACTCAAATAAAGAACAAGACCTAGGGAGTGGTTTTGGATAGCAACCTGTCACCAGAGGAACACAAAGAACACAGAGAGGAGCGCATGCGTCACTTTCCAACTTCATACTTGCTTTTAATTATACAAATGGTGAAATACTAAAGTAACTCTTCATTATTTTTGTGAGAAAAATTGGAATATGCAGCAGTTGTATGATGCCCATATTTCAAGAAGCACATTAATGAACTGGAAAAGGTTCAAAGGCATGCTACAAAATGGCTTCTAGAACTTGAAAACAAGAGTTTCGCGGACAGATAGAGGCATTAAACATGCCAAAACTAGAAGAGAAGAAAAAGAGGCAGTGTGATCACCACTTACAACATACTGTACCAACTGGAATTGACCAAATTGACAAAGAGGAATTCCTGAAACCAACAACTTCAAGAACAAGAGAACACAGATTCAAGCTAAGGAAACAAAGATGCAAACAAAATATTAGAAAGTTTTCATTTCCCTACAGAGTGGTAGATGGTTGGAAGAAGCTAAGCAAGAAGGTGGAGGAGGCCAAAAATGTCAGTAATTTCAAAGCATTATATGACAGTGCTGGAAAGATGGAACACCACAAGCATAGCTCTCATCCTGTAACTACACTTAGGTAATCACTTAGGTAATTACACACACACACACACAGTAATTGTACTATTCATTCATACATTAATACACAAATATATGGAGGAAATTGGTCCTATGAGAGATGAAGTTGGTCCATACCGAGAAGGGCCCATCAACCAGGAAGCCTTGGAAAGACTTCTTATCACACTCGCTTTCGGAGTCGTGGTGAACGTGGATCTGGTAGTTGCGGAAGACAGCATGCGAGACATTATAGCTGGCTCTGAATGCTGCTCCCGGAGGACTTACTCTCACTAGTTTCAACTGTTTGGGAGTCAATGTAACTTGACTTAGTCACAATATATCAAGCTCATCATCATCATGAAAGAATTTTCCTTAGGCTGCCAATAATTCGTCAGTGATAAATAACTAAAGTAAAAAAACTTTTCAGTTGTTTTTACTACCAAGTCACAAACTACATCACAATGAGCTAATGCTATAGAGCCTAATTCTTCATTTTAGTACTGCAATACTTTTTGTATACAGTATGCTCTAATTTAGTGCGGCAATACTTTTGTATATGATGTATATGCATTGTTTATGATGTACTGCATTGTTTTTGTATTCGCTATATTTTAGTACTGCATTACTTTTGTATTCCTATCAAAAGATCTAAATGCTGGGAATCTCGGGAGAAAAAAAATAATTTTGCTGTAATTCAGTACAGTGTGTTCTTTGCAACGTGAATGAACTATAATAGAATTAGATAGGCAAGGTTCAATTTATTGGAATGGTCAAAAATGGTATTAATTTTGCAATTTTGACCCTTAACCCCTAAAGTGTGGCTTAAGATTTACACACATTTAATGAAACACCTTTTTAGGGAGGAGTCTTGGTGGCTCCCTGAAGCTATCTTCCTGAGACTGCTTCATACGAAAACATCACATCATTTGCAATGGTTCTGTTTGGAGTGACGACCAAACCACACACCAGAAGATGGAGAAACGATTTTGGTCCGTCTTGGACCATTGTCAAGTCGTGTGTGAGGAAGAGAGGAAGAAACACGCTAACAAAGAAAAGAGTGAGAGGTGGGGAACAGGTAAGAGAAGCAGGTAATTTCTAGAAAAAGGTTAAGTGAAAGGAAAGAATGGTACGAATGGCACGAATGTAAGAATGGGAAGAGTTATGAGGAAGGTAAGAAAAGGGGGTAAGAAAATGGAATAGGCTAAAGTCAGGTCATGTTTGTTAAGAAGGTTAGAGCATTTACGTATATACTGTGAGGGGGAAGAGTCAACAGCAATAAAGCCATGACTAAGGTTTATGTTGGGCAAGCTGTGTATCAGAACCGATTCAACAAGATGGCAGCTGTGAAGAGTAGGGGCAGGAAAGATTATTTTAGATGATATATAGAATTATTAGAGTCCCTAACAACAGAAGAGAGCATTGTTTGTGTCTGCAGACTTAACCCTTAGACCGTGCAATACATACATATATGATTTGACAAAAAACATTTTAACATAAGTTTTTAAAACTTGCACAAACACTTTCCAATTTTTTTTGCATAATCAACTAGGCAAATGCTCCATTTTGTCTAAATGATCACAGCGTAACTTGAAAAACATGAGAATCGAAATTAATTTTAAAATTGAATATTGAAAACTTCAGATTTTTAATTCAGAATAAATATGAACTATCACCAATTGTTTATTTAATGTTGATATTCTCTCAGAATAGCACATGATCTTCATTTTCATCAAGTTAGAATATAGGTTTTTGGTATAGATTACTGTTAAAAAAAATTGTCAATAGGGCATTTGAAATATGCAGCAAATTTAGACCCCAAAAAATTATAAATCAAAATGTATAAATTTTATGAAAAATCCATTCCGAGGGGATTGTACAACAGACAGCCGAGCACACAATACGTCAAAATAGTGAAAATTGGTCAAAAATTGGAATTTTTAAAGCCATTCAAAGTTGAAACTAGTTTCAGAGATAATTGAAGTTGAAGTTATCGACAATGAATAAAGGTAATTTTAATTCGTTAATTTAATTGTATATAAAATAAACAATGTTTTTCATTCGTACTCGAATATGTGAAGTTGTAGGTCAATATGTGTTGAAATGAAGTCAAGAAAAACACTACCCCCCCAAACACAAAATATAGGGATAATTATAATGATTTAGGGGATATATTTAGGGTCTACTTTAATTAAGTGAAAAAGCCTTAATCTGGACCCTAATCATCAAAACAACCTAAAGAGACAAAGAAAGAGTTTGAAACTGGAGAAAAAATCAGCCAAAAAAATTACAAGTCCCAAGTTTTGTGAGTTGTGACTAATTTATTTGTCGACCAATTTCATTCTATCTTCACATAGTTAGGGAAACATATGCATTGAAAACAGCGTTGAATGTAATGAAATGGCATTTTCTGGGCGAGCCCCGGAGGTTCCCTGGAGCTTATCGAGCTAATGTATGTTATATTAGACCGGGACATTATCTAAGGAGTTCAGACCTACCAGGGACCAGTGCCAGAACCTGGCCCCTTCAGAGAGGTTTCAGGGAGCAATGATCCTGGAAAACCCCCCTGTAGTTGGGGATTTTCCTTATCTGCCATCGACCGGGGTTAAGCACCCAGAAAGGTAGGCATAACAAAACAAACCCCACATGGTAAGAAACTAAAACAAAAACCAAACAGAGAGGTAGAAACTCCCTACAATCCCAAGCAAACATCACACTTTACTGCCACGCCAATCGTCCGTGCTGCCCTCCCTGCCCTAAGAGGGGGAGGGGGGATCCCCAGACCTCACCGCGCCGGCTACCTAGCACCAGTTCAGAAGCCAAGCTTCAACCAACACGAAAAAAGCGCCGACCGGTGGGAGGGAGGGTTGCCAGGGAGCCTCCGGGGCTCACTCAGAAAATGGTGTTTCATTACACTCAACGCTGGTTTTCTGTGGGAAGCCTCTACAGCTCCCTGGAGCTACATACCCAAGGAGAAGGAAAAGAAAGGGCTGACCCGGGAGGCGGCCGCCACAAACTTTGCAACGCGAAGTCGAGACAACAGGCAGCAATCTGTGACCCAAAGCAACACAAGAACGCCCAGGAGCAGACACACTCACAAAATAACAGGCGGCCAGGAACTTATGCGACCTCCAAATCTCCAAATCTCAACCTCCAGGACATGTTACCAAACACAGCAGCGAAAACTGCAAACGTCCGAATGGCACGGGCGCAAGGATAGACTGCAGGCTAGTAGACTTGAGAACCCTGCGGACGACCTGGGAGACCTGAGCCCTGGAACAGGGAATGAGGGAAACCAGATCAACTCAAAGCGCACCCCCAGCCACGGCACGCTGGTAATGGTGAAGAACTACAACCAGGGACAAAACATGATGCACCCCTGGCCGAACCAATCAAGCAATAACCCAAGGACCCCTCTGGAAAGCAGCCGACTCGGCCTTCGCCAGAAAAACTGAGAAGGCTGCAAACGTACAACGCTACCATCAGTACTAAAAGAGCAGAAACCCCGGTCCTAAAAAACCAAGAAAAGACAAGACAACCCAAAATCCTACAAGTGGTCCTACCGCCACAACAGGCAGACCCCCACCAGGCAAAACAAAACAAAAACAAAGGAAAGACCTCGCAAAAGCACAGCATCTCCAGGTGAACAGAACCGGTCGCTATGCGTACATCAGACAGCTGCACAGTACCTTGCGCTATAGCCAGTGACAAAACAACCTCCTACGCAAGGGAAAACAGGAGTAAGAACCGCCCCAGCTGAACCCCAAGGGCGGGCAATCACCGAACAGCGACAGAACCACACGGAGGTAGTTGCTCCTGAACGGCTCATGGAAGATAACCCTGAGGCCGCAAAGGCAGTACTTACGGGGCACCTAAGGAAGGCGGCCCTAGGTGCATGCAGCCCCAGTACTCGTGTTACTTCTGGCTCACACCCCACCAAAACAGAGCAACAACACCGCACAGCAGCACTGCACAAAGAGTGGAGCCAGAGCGATCGACCATTTGCTATCACAACAGCCTGTGAACTGAGTAGAGTTGCTGGTGTGGAGGTCTGGGACCCCCCATCCCCTTCCCGGGGAGGGGGGTGGTGTGCAGACAGATGTGCGGCAATTGTGGTGACGTCATGTTTGCTTCCTGGTTTTTGATTGGAATTTGCTATTTCGGTTTTCGGTTTGCAATTTTTGACCAGCAGTAGTTTGTTTTGGAATTACTACCTTTCTGGGTGCTTGACCTGGTAGATGGCAGACAAAAACTGCTTCCAATTACACGGGGATGTCTTTAGGCCATTGCTCCTCGTGCCTCTCTTGAGAGGGCCAGGTTCTGGCTCTGGTCCCTGGTAGGCCTAGAACTCCTTTGATTAACTGTTGTCATGGTCTAATATACACACATCAGCCCAGTATAGCTCTGGGAGCCGAAGGGGCTCTCCACAGAAAAAAAAATTTCCTTAAAAATATTTTTGAGACACTGATGAAAGTAACATACATTAACATTGGACAATGTATTTATATGATATATAACAAAATAGAACCTATTAACATAACACAAATGATAATGAATTACTATTTATTACTCAGCAATGATATAAAGGCACCAACTGCATATCCACTTTGTGGACACTTCTTACTACTGTTCTTCTTCTTTGAGTGTCAGACAGGTGCTTGCATCTATTACTGCATAATCCTTCAGTTCCAGTTATTAGGAGCTGTTCACCTTAACAAAACGTTCTTATTGTTTAAAAATTCGTCAAAAATCAATTTCTGAAAGTATTTTGATGAAAGTTTCACGACACTGAAGCCAATAAGTTGGAGATTTGTTTAACATTTTAAAGTTGTTTTTCCATAATTCAAATATTTTTCACTACCAGGCCCTCAATATGCGCGGTCTAGGGGTTAACACTTCTTTCGTGTTCCTCAGGTCTGTCATTTTGCATATGGCCAGTCTCACCAAAGCATTGGAGAATATAAGACGAACAGGAAATAGAGAAGACACCAGCAGCACTGGAAGCAGGAGCAGCAGCGTGAACAAGATTACTAAGAAGAATGTTAATGTGTTGAAAGGCGAGCTTTACATCAAGATGGCGAAGGGTATTAGTGAGATTTATGAGTTCAGATATGAAGGGAAGGCAGAGCACAGTGGTATTAGTGTTAGCTTGAGAATAGGCACAGTTGATAAAATGTAAGGGGTATCCAAGGCAAGAGAAAGATTTGTAACAAAGAAATTTCAGAATCAAGAAACTGAGGGTCACTAATGCATAGAGCACAGAGCAAGAGGGACGAGAACACTTTTCTTAACAGAAGGAGGAT